TATTCGAAGTGGTGAATTACAGAGGCACAGAAGAACACATACAGGTGAGAAGAAATTTGTCCAGAATGTTCAAAATGCTTTATGAGAAGTAACCACCTTGCCAAACATATTAAAACACACCAGAATAAAAAAGGTATTCACTCTAGCAGTACAGTGCTGGCATCTGTGGAAGCTGTGTGAGATAATACTTTGGTTACTGCAGGAGGAACAACACTTATCCTTGCAGATATTCAACAAGGTTCTGTTTCAGGGATAGGAACTGTTAATACTTTGGCCACCAGCAATCAAGATAATCCTTACCAACACTGAAATACCTTTACAGCTTGTCACAGTTTCTGGAAATGACAGTGGCGTAAATATTACACAAATACTTATTCATTGTGGTTATTTTTATACAGTAGTAAGAAGAATATTGTTCCTTAGTTCTTAGATATCTTTTAATTGATGTGCAAACATTTTTGGATCGACAGTAACTTGGTTATACATGACACTGAAATGCCTTACTTTGTGTGATATTCCATAGTATATTAAAAATGGTAAAATTGCATGGCTCTTGTAGGTACTTTTGGAATCTAGAAGAAGTGAAATTTTACCAAGTTATATAAAGAGAAAATGGAATTTAACAGTGTGAATGGTAGTCTAACCAAATGCATCAATCCTGTGTGGTTTAGTGTAAAAATAAGAACATGTTGGTATTTATCTATTGTAAGATAAAAAAGCTGGTGGGTGAAAGAAATCATGGTATGATAAAAAAAAATTGTAATTTTCTCGATGACTGGAATTTTTATTATGCATAACTGACAAATCAAGTTTCCAAGCAAATGTTACATAGTGTAGGCTTTACTTAGCTTATCAATTTGGCATTTTGAAGCTAATTATTTTAATTAGGTTAACTATGTACACTATTTTAAGCATTACTCTTGTAAGATTTTGAAAACTACATTTTAACATGGAATCCTGTTGAAAAGCCAGGTTGAAGATTTAATTTGCCAAAATAATGCCTTGTTAATATTCTTTCAATAATGAAGTTGGGCAATATAACCAATGTTTAAAAAAGTTTAAAATGTATAGGTTGAGGCATTTGGGTGGTAAGAAAATGTTACAGTGAATTATCCCTTTTCTTAACTATTGGAGGACCAGAAAAAATAAGGTGTATTTCGTCTTAGCAGTGATTTTTTCTTGTTTCCAAAAACCATGTGTCTCCCAGGGCCTTAAAAGCCATCATGTAAATTACCAGTAAAGTAAAACATATGCACATGTAACAAAATCACTTCCATGGTGACGATATTCCAACCATATGGATATTAGTCGTAGAAAAACTAGAGGTTTTATGATTTTTTTAAAGTTTTGTTTTTCGTCTAGGTAGTCAGTCTGCACTTGAATAACCTTCATTTTCCTTTTTGCTTCTTCCCTTAAAATTTATGTGTATCCAGTACATTTAATTGAGAAACATATGTTTTTTATTATGCTGTATTTTCTTTTTATTTTTTAATTATTGTTTATATTTTCCATTTTAAAATGTACAAAATAAGTTACATTGCTGGTCTTGTAAAAAAAAAAATGTGTGTATACATACACACACACACACACACACATATATTTATATAAAATCAAGTGTACCTAGTAACTCCAATGAATAATCCAAATTTGGTCTACAGATAATCCAGCAGACCTCAACCAATCACAGATTCTGATCTAGTGGAATTCAGATTAATGAGGTTATTATACTATATTAATAAAATTGTTTTCCTGTGAGTTCATTGCTAAGAAATAGAAGTTTATTTTTAAGAGACAAGGTCTTATTATTTTGTAGAGACAGAGTCTCTCTATGTTGCACAGGCTGGTCTTGAACTCCTGGCCTCAAATGATCTTTCTGCCTTGGCTTCCCAGGCATGACCAACTAGGCCTGGCCTAGAATTTTAAAAGATACTTTTCACTCAACAATGAACAATTATAATAATGGGACAATAAAACATTTGCCATATACGCCATACCTTCAAATTCTGTTGTCATATAGTTGAAAATAATTGAGCTAAAAGACAAAGCAGGGCCAGGTGCAGTGGCTCATGCCTGTTATCCCAGCACTTCGGGAGGCCAAGGCAGATAGATAGTTGAGGTCAGGAGTTTGAGACCAGCTTGCCCAACAGGGTGAAACCCTGTCTCTACTAAAAATACAAAAAAATTAGTCAGATGTGGTGGTGCATGCCTATAATCCCACCTGCTCAGCAGGCTGAGGCATGAGAATCACTTGAACCTGGGAGGCAGAGGTTGCAACGAGCAGAGATTGTGCCACTGCACTCCAGCCTGGGTGATAGAGTGAGACTCTGTCTTAAAAAAAAAAAAAAAAGCAGATGCTTATAAAGCTTAATCTCAAATTGCAAATATACATGATATCTTTTAAAAACATATATTATTTGGGCTGGTATGGTGGCTCACACCTGTAATCCCAGCATGTCGGGAGGCCGAGGTGAGTGGATCACTTGAGGTCAGGAGTTCAAGTCCAGCCTGGCCAACATGGTGAAACCCAGTCTCTACTAAAAATACAAAAATCAGCCAGGCCTGGAGGCAGGTACCTGCAATCCCAGCTACTCAGGAGGCTGAGGCAGGAGAATTGCTTGAACCCGGGAGGCAGAGGTTTCATTGAGCTGGTGCACCACCATACTCCAGCCTGGGTGACAGAGTGAGACTCTGTCTCAAAAAAATGAAAATAAAAATTTTAAAAAAAGTATGTATACGTATATATAGAATTTGATGCTAAAAGTGATCTTGTGTAACTTGACATTCTGTAATAAAAAAAGATCTAATTTCTAGCTTTGATTATATTTAATTAAATGAAGAAGTTAAATTTCCTTATTAGGTTTAATATTATATCAGATTTAAATTTTTAAGGCATCTAGATGCAAATAAGATACCAGATGCAATTTGACACACACACACACACACACACACACACACATTTGTGAAATCATCTAACAGTTTTTTCTTCTCTTGACTCCTTGGCCTCAGTGATGACAAACATGCAAAATGTAGGGGGGAACCTCACAAAATATTAACATTAAACAGAGTAATATATGTGATACTGATTCAGGCTAGATTGAAATACGAACTTTTTAGTTATAAGAAATTAGATAAGTACTAATGCTTTATATGGCACTTAACTGTTTAGAAAAGTCACATTTGATCATTCAGTTGATTCTCTCAAATCCTTTGAGATAAGCATGTTCATTTTACAAAATAGGCAATAAAGTCTGGCCCTGGTGATAGGACCATGATTCATATCCACTTCTGACTCTCAAAGTCTGTTGTTGTTTTTTTTTTTTTCTCTCTCAGTCAGGTGACTGTTCCCCTAATCTGACTTGGATCTTGCCTACAGGAGCTTAGTCATGAAATATCCAAATGACTTTGTAAGCAGTGTGATTCACTTTAAGATGTAGTATGATTCATTTTAAGATGTTGCCTGAAGGGAGTATTATAGTGTACTGTCATTAATTACAAACAAAATGTAAAATTATGATGTGCCAATTTGCTGTAATCAATTTTTATTTCAAACCAAATGTTGAAGACCATGGCACCATCTTTGGTGTTCAAGAGAAGAGACTCTGCTATGGCAAGTTTTACTATGTCATAGAGTAACTCTTTCTCCAAACTAGACTAAATCCCAGTTGCTTTATTGCTGAGCTTTTCATGTGCCCCCCCACCTACTTTTTTTTTTCTTCCAAAAAATTATTTTGGCATGTGAGATTATTTCACAGAAATATTTTATTTGGCTTAAAACTCATTTCTGAATAACCATATTTTGCCTGCCCATATAAATACAGTTCTGATTTCAAATTGTGGTTTGAATTCGAGTTTAGTTTTTGTAGAGAAATATTCAGAATCTCTGATGGTAGGAAAATAAGGGTGCCTGGAGAAGAGGCATCGGTGGGGACCTTTGTAGTAGGTGTTTGACTTTCTTTTCCTTTCCAAACCCCTCATAGTTAATACCATCCTTCTAGCCTTGCCCCTTAAATTCTGAGTTTTTCCCCCTAGACTCAAACATCAGAATATATTTTAACTATTGCTTGAATTTGCAACAGCCCTTTGCATTCCACATCACATTAGCTCAGGGACAAACTGCATTCTCTGATAGTTTAGGAAATTTTAACCTTGCCATTTTCACCTTAAGGATGTTTTGACTCTACCTTTCTGAATACAGAGACTTTAATGAAAATTATGCCAATCTTAATGAGTTTTCATCAAGAAAGTATTTTTGATTTGGACTTTTATACAGTTTGATTTCTTGATCAGTTTTTCACAGAGCAAAGTTAAAATTTTCTACTTTATTTTACTAAAATGTTTAGCCAGCTCAACTCTGCTTTGTGAATTTTACTCTGAAGATGTCTGTCTGTCATTATTTCACTTTCTCTCTCTCTCTCTCTTTTTTTTTTTTTTTTTTTTGGAGACTGGACCTTGCACTGTTGCCCAGGCTGGAGTACAGTAGCACAACCTCAGCTCACTGTAATCTCTGCCTCCTAGGCTCAAGCAGTCCTCCTGCCTCAGCCTCCTAAGTAGCTGGAACTACAGGTTCATGCCACTACACCTGGCTAATTTTTGTATTTCTTGTAGAGACAGGGTTTCGCTTGTTGCCCAGGCTGGTCTCAAACTCCTGAGCTCAAGCAATACACCTACCTCAGCCTCCCAAAGTGCCGAGATTACAAGCGTGAGCAACCTCGCCCAGCTTCTTTTTTTAAATAAGAGACAATATAGTGTAATGTTATATCCTGGATATGTTCTAAAGCAGTACTGTCCAGTGGGAGTATACTGTGAGCCACGTATAATTTTAAATTTTTTAGTGGCCATGTTAAGACAGTAAAAAGCTATAGGTGAAATTAAGTTTCATAATATGTTTTATATAGGGACAGGCACAGTGGCTCACACTTGTAATCCCAACATTTTGGAAGACTATGGCAGAATTATTTAAACGCAGGAGTTTGAGACCAGCCTAGGCAACATTGTGAGACCCCATCTCTACAAAACATTAAAAATTAGCTGGCTGTGGTGGTGCACACTAGCAATCTCAGCTGTTTCCTGAGGCTGAGGCAGGAGGAGCCTAGGAGTTTGAGGCTGCAGTGAGTTTGAGCCTAGGAGTTTGAGGCTGCAGCGAGCTGTGATCATGCCACAACCTGGGCAGCAGAGAAAGACCCTGTCTCAAATACATGTACATACACACATATATTTTTATATAGCCCAGTATAACCAAATTATCATATAGACGTGTAATCAATGTACAGATTATTAATTTTAGAGGAAAGTAGGTAGGAGAAGGGAAATCTCAGAGAAAAAGGTGGGGGTTGGGGGCAGGGTAGCTAAGTTTGATCTCTATTTCTCTGCTTTCTTTTTTCTTTTCTTTTCTTTCTCTTCTTTCTCTTCCTTCTTTTCTTTCTTTCAAGGTGGAGTTTCACTCTTGTTGGCCCAGGCTGGAGTGCGATGGCATGATCTCGGTTCGACACAACCTCTACCTCCCAGGTTCAAGCGATTATTTTGCCTCAGGCTCCCATGTAGCTGTGATTACAGGCATGCGCCACCATGCCTGGCTAAGGGTGTATTTTTAGTAGAGATGGGGTTTCTCCATGTTGGTTAGGCTGGTCTTGAACTCCCAGCCTCAGGTGACCCACCCACCTCAGCCTTCCAAAGTGTTGGGATTACAGGCGTGAGCCACCACTCCCAGCTGTCCTCTGTCTTTTTGTAGCCTTGGGGAGGAATGGAGGAGGAAGGAGAAGATCATGCTCATCTTTACTCTGTCTCCTACTTTAGTTTGTGAGGGGAATGGTTAAGTCAAAACAGGGACAAGAGATTAACTTATTTGCTGAGTTCTATTTACATTGAGAATGTTGTTGTAGAAAAGGCCCAGAAAACACCATGTGCTAATAGTATACATGTGCACATTAGGAATCTAAAGTGTCTTTTACTGACTCAGACTTTAATAATAGTCCTGTCCATCCCCCCCTTCCCCCCCCCCCCTTCTTTCTCTCCCTCTCTCGTCCAAGTTTAAATTCCTTACTGGAAAGACAGAAAAGGAAAAGTGTAGTAGATTTTCCAAATACAAACCTTGCTTTTATAATATGGTTATGGCAACCATCTCTATTTTGGTAAAATTGGCCTATTACATGAATGACATTTTGCAAGTTAGATTTTTGCAATTTAGGAAAACCACAAGCCATCGTAAACAGTTAAACAAGATATTTTATATATGAATTTAGTACCATAAATCAGAATTTTGGGCATTGTACAGAGCAGAATGAAAACATAAAGCAAACAGACCTGGCCTAATCTCTAAGGCTTAGAGGAAAATTCTTTAAGAAAGTGAGTTGGAAACACACATGAAAGGTGAATAGGAATTAATAGGCAGTACTGATGGAAAAGAGCTTTCCAGGCAGGAAAAAAAAGACAAAACATTTGGAGAATTCTTACAGTGGGAATTTAGAGTCTAGAAATATACCATACATTTATGGTCAATTGATTTCCAACAAGGGTGCCAAAAGAATAGTTTCTTCACCATATAATCCTGGAACAATTGGATATCCATGTGCAAAAGAATGAAGTTGGACCCCTACCTCACACCATGCACAAAAATTAACTCAAATGGATAGTAGACCTAAATTTTAGAGTTAAAACCATAAAATACTTAAAACATAGGTGTTGGGTTAGGTATAGTATCTTAGATATGATACCAAAAGCACAAGCAACAAAAAAAAGTACATTGGGCTTCATAAAAATGGAAAACTTGTGTTTCAAAAGATACCATCAGGAAAGTGAGATGACAACTCACAGAATGGGAAAAAAAATGTAAGTCATATATCTGATAAAGGAAGTTGTATCCAGCTACTACTAGGAAAATGCAGCATAATCCAAAGAAAAAGTTTGTGGCAGAGACTAGTATTTGGATGTGAATGTTTCTAGATAGAGCTCTCCTCTTCATTTCTTTCAGAACAAAAACTTATAATCTAGCTTAAAATTAGTGAGCATCTCTTTCAGCTTGAACTGTTCATTTCTGGTGTAACAGGTATAAACTTCATGTTTAACTCAGAGTTCCTTAGTCCAGAAATCCTTGCCCTGTGGCATGTCTGAATTTATAAACAGGGTATCTCTTGTTGTAATTCTAGACTTTGCCTTTAATACTGCTTAAATCCCAACTATTCCACCAAGATTTTATGGGTTTTGCTTCCTTTTAAAAGAATAGTTTAAAAATAAAATAGTCCAAGCATCCTTCTAAGTCAGTCATAAGCTATAGTATCTTGATTTTGTATATTAGAGCTGATTGCCTAAATTATATTTTGCAATTTCCTTACCCCCAGAATAGTTTGCCCTATCAGCTACATCCTGAGCCATGGTCTTAGTTGTGTTAGATGCACTTCTTAGCTCACCAAAAACAGAGTCTGGCCAGGAAAATATTAAATTGTCCTTTCCACTTCCTCCCATTAGAGTGGCTCTGGAAATGTTTCATGCAAGGAGGCAGTGATGAAAATCTCTTCTTTGCTATTAAGTTTTTAAAGAGGATAAAAACCTTTCTTAGTTTTTCAGTGTTCTAGTACAGAGTTGATTACTTTCTTAGGAGTAAACCATGTGAATTAATGCACTCTGGCTTCTAGAGGGTTTCTGTATGAGAGCCTGGTTCTCTGGACCAAAGAAGAGATGGAAGTAATTGAATTCACAATTGAATGAAGTAATTGGGAATACAATTAGAATAAGTGCATATATTCAGTTTATAATAAAGATCTCATGAATGTCATTATATAGTCATCCAGACTATTTAATCAGTTAATGGCTATCTTTATTCACATATTTTAAAACAGATGAGCTCCGACAAGAAATGCTGGATGATGTACAAAAGAAATTGATGAACTTAGCAAACAGCTCAGAAGGAAAAGTGGACAAGTATGCCTTTTCCTTTTAATGTTTGTGTGGTTTGTGGAAATTATGGTTAAAAAAAAAAAACTTCTACATGTAAATGTTTATATGTGATTAAATTTTTCAAAAGCCTTTTTCTTACTCTAGTGAAGAAAGATGCAGCTTTAATGAGGAGTCAACAGAATCACTGACCTTCTTTTATTTTTTAGTGTAGATTTTTTTCAACTCATTCTTTTTCTTAAAACAATGTGGAAGAGCATGGGCAGGCATGGTGTCTCATGCCTGTAATCCCAACACTTTGGGAGGCCGAGGCAGGTGGATCACCAGAGGTTGGGAGTTGGAGACCAGCCTGACCAGCATGGAGAAACCTTGTCTCTACTAAAAATACAAAATTAGCCAGGCATGGTGGCGCATGCCTGTAAGTTCCAGCTACTCAGGAGGCTGAGGCAGGAGAATTGCTGGAACCCAGGAGGCAGAGGTTGTGGTGAGCTGAGACCACACCGTTGCACTCCAGCCTGGGCAACAAGAGCGAAACTCCATCTCAAAAAAAAAAGGAAGAGTTAAAAAATATCACCTCAGCAAGAAGTATTTAGAAAATAAAAAATTGAATTTTACTATTCTTTTTTGCTTCTTTTACTGTGCTTAAGTGAACATAATCTTGCTCAAATGTATAATCCCTGAAACCTAGGTATACATGCAACAATAGCTCATTTAATATTTTTAAAATGTATATATTGTAAATTTTTAATAAATTTGGTTGGGGAAATAAAAGCATAACATTAAACACAATAGCCGTCACCATATAAGCTTCTGCTCAGGTGAACATGAGCCCAGTCAGGCACTTGGAATTAGTAAGGCGGTACCGCCTCAGTCAGTTACTGGGTTGAAGAAAGTGGGAGGCTAGTAATTGATGTTTTAAAAGGTACACATTTTGGGATGTTTGAAATATTTTTTATTTTGTTTTGTTCGAAATATTAATTAGACTGTCAAGGTTTTTTAAGACACTTTAAAATATTTTGTTCGGCCTTTTTATAAGGAAATATGTAATTGTTTAATTAAATACGTCTATGTTTAGTGTTTGGGTGCACTTAATGTTGAGTTTGCCTGAGCTGTTTCTGCCTTTCTTTTCATAGAGTCCTAATGAGAAACCTCTTCATTGGTCATTTCCACACACCAAAAAATCAGCGTCATGAAGTGTTACGGTTGATGGGGAGCATCCTGGGTGTCAGGAGGGAGGAGATGGAGCAGGTGACTGAACAATGAAAGCCATCTGAACATATTCATAACCCAGATAGTGGCTTTGTAAACAAGTACTTCCTTTTACTATATATAGCTTTTACTGAGTAATTTTCTCAGTGTGGAAATGGAATTACTTCTTACAACATTGAGGAGGTAGATTTGTTCAATATGTATGATTTTAGTTTAAATGTTGTGTTTTTGTGTTTGTTTTTTTTGAGACAGAGTTGTCCAGGCTGGAGTGTAATGGTGTGATCTTGGCTCACGGCACCCTCTGCCTCCTGGGTTCAAGTGATTCTCCTGCCTCAGCCTCCCAGTAGCTGCGATTACAGGCATAAGCCACCACAGCTGGCTAATTTTTTGTATTTTTTGTAGAGACGAGGTTTTTCCGCCTTGGCCAGGCTGGTCTCAAACACCTGACCTCATGATCCGCCCGTCTTGTCCTCCCAAAGTGCTGGGATTACAGGCGTGAGCCACTGCGCCCAGCCTAAATGTTTTATAACTTACAAAGCACTTCTCATGTCCAGATGCCGAAATGTTGAAATATCACCAAACTTTCATTTGAGATTGTGCTTGGGGTGGCATTTTGTTGTATCTGTAGCCTCTATCAGTAGGAAACATTTACTAGGATTTGAACTTGAAAAGCATGCTACAATTATCAGAAATCATATGAAAGTGGTCCTTTTTTTTCTTGTACTGATAATATGTGTCTGTTTTAAAATGATCTTTCAGTTGTTTCATGACGATCAGGGCGGTGTTACCAGGTGGATGACTGGGTGGTTTGGAGGAGGATCAAAAAGTGTTCCCACCACACCTTTGAGACCAAATCAGCAATCTGTGTTTAATAGTGTAAGAACCGATTTTATTCTTGCTTAAAGTGAACAGTGAAATGACTGTATATTGCATTCATTTGCAAAGAATCAGATTTCTTTTAAAAATTATTTTATACAACGCTTTTATTTTGAAGTTGCAGAAACTGAGTTCCAGAGAGGTGATTAAGCTTAAGGATAACAAGCCAGTTTTCATAATTTTATTGCATATAGGCTTTATTTTAACTCCATATGGTGCTTTTATTTTTCAAAATATTAATTTTTTCTTTGTACTTGATCATGCTGCCATAGGCAGTCTTGCTACTAAATTATAGTAGCAAGATAGAGGATTTATTTTATTCGTGTATGTATGTTCCAAATTGTTGAGCCAGTGAATACTTACTGAGTGCCTGCTGTGAGCTAGCCTCTTCCAAGCACTGAGGATGCAGCTGCAAACTGGATGGACAAGGTGCCTGCCCTCATAAAACTTAGATTCTCAAAGGAGGAGGCAGTTAATGAACATGAAAACACTGTGCCTGCTATGTTGTAGGCTCTAGATGAATATTAATTGAATTGAGTAGTATTATGAGTTAGAATGTGGAGTTTCCTTCTCATAGTTTTTTAATGAAGAGGATGCTGAGGATAGATGACTTACCCAGAGCTGGTTAAAGAGGAAACCCTGTTTTACTTGGCTGGCATAAAATTTAATTTAAAGGAAAGGTCTACACTACATTATTTTAATCTGATAATGTTATTGGTGATCTTTTGCTATATTCATTGGTTGGATCTGACTTTAGAAAATCATGTCTAATATGTGTTTTCCTTTCGTATAATTTTTTTTTTTTTTTTTTTTGAGACAGAGTTTAGCTATTCCTGCCCAGGCTGGAGTGCAGTGGTGCAACCTCTGCTCATTGCAACCTCTGCCTCCTGGGTTGAAGAGATTCTCCTACTTCAGCCTCCAAGTAGCTGGGACTACAGCCATGTGCCACCACACCCGGCTAATTTTTTTGTATTTTTAGTAGAGACGGGATTTCTCCATGTTGGTAGGGCTGGTCTCGAACTCCCAACCTCAGGTGATCCTCCCACCTCAGCCTCCCAAAGTGCTGGAATTACAGGCGTGAGCCACCATGCCCAGCCTCTTGTATAATTTTTTGTTTATGTCAATAGTTATTAAAATGATCAGATTCATTAAATGCTATTCATTGATGGCAAGAAAAATAAGTATCATCAGTTGGCTAATTAATTCTGACCATGAGATGTTAAAAGTGAGTGTTATCATCAATGACTATTGATTAAATTGTTAGATTTTTGTAATAACGATCATCTATCTAAAGTGCTGGTGTTTTCAATTGTTTGTAAAACTGATTTGTAAAAAAAAAAAAAAAGATTCAAATGCCATGATTAGTTTTTAATATTTAATTAGAAAAGCTGGTACATTTTCTTAGTTGTAGTGAATATAACTTAATTGTCTAGCCTAATAAAACCAAAATATTTTTTCTTAGTCTTTTTCAGAACTTTTTGTTAAATTTTTGGAAACAGAATCTCATCCGTCCATTCCACCACCAAAGCTTTCTGTTCATGGTATGAAACCTCTGGATTCACCAGGAAGGAGAAAACTAGATGCAAATACACCAGAAAGTTTTAAAGGTAAAACTAGAGATTTATTTTTTTTCTATATTTTAAAAATTGAATGTTTAATATGATTATGTTTCACAGTGATACTAACTAAATTTTTAGCGTTTTTGAAAATGTGCAATGAAGATTTCCGGAATTATAATCAGGCATCAGGCTTTTGCGTCATATATTCTTGTAGCAATTGGATATTTAATTGGTTTAGATTAATTTAAATGGTAAGAAATATCTTCCCTTTGTATATCAGAATTATTTTTCTCTGTCTGCCTAACCAGCTTTGAATTCTTCCTCTGGAAGTGGTGGAGAACTGGTTAAATCTTTCTTGGCCACCTGCTTTCCTTCCTCACTAATGGTGCTTCTTGCTAATCCGAGTTGGATGTATAGTTTATCGTTCGAAAAGGGTTTTTCTCCTTTGAAAATTTAAGTGCTGCAGTCAGTAACCGAACATTGGCATGTTAATATATATAAGCGCAGTTTAATAAGCTGACTGGACTCTTAAGAATGTGGAAAGCACTCTTTTATGTTGAAAGAGCTGCCTAGAAGCGGATGATTGGTGGTTGCTAACGTGTATACATATTTTTCTGTCCCACTAGATTGTAAGGGTTTTATTTATGTTCATATCATGTATAATACCAGCATGCAGGAAAATTTACCACATTGAAATTGAATTATAAGCTGTTGGACTGTAAACAAATTCTTTATTGGAAGAGCTCTTTTCTGAAACCTTCATATTTTAATATAGACTAACATATTTACTAATTGGACTGTAATATGTTATATGTTATATACTCATATCACATCAGATGCTTAAATTTGGATAAAGAATTTATATTCTGACATTTTTAAAACTTCTACTGTTTAGACAAATATTTCTATTTTTCTGGACTTATATAGGAAGGGAAAGTAGTAAAACTTATCGGCCATTTAGATAATAGTTTTGCCTGCTAAATGTAGTGAAAAGTCATAGTTTTATCTAAGAGGTGTAGACTATACTAAAAACAGTTTTTCTTGTTACACTAGGTTGTAGCATCTCGAAACAGATTCCCAAATTCATTATGGCAGGCTCTTTCCCTCCCTGTCTTCCCTTCCCCTTCTTTTCCCACCCTTCCTTTCCCTTTTCTTCCCTTCTCCTTCTCTCTTCTCTCTTCCTCTTCCTCCGTTCCACTTCTTTTCTCTTTTTTTTTCCTGCTTCCTACCTTTCCCCTTCCTTTTATCAAGTTCAGTGCCCAGCTTGATTTGTATTGACGGGAGACGAAAGCTGGTGACGGTCTGGGTTGATAGAGGCTTTGCATGAATTAAGCAAGCTTAGTCCTTAATCCTGAATTTGGAAATGTGTAACACTAGGTAACACCAGGAGCTTGCCCAGAGTTTGGAAAGTTGTCATTCACAGGAAAGTACAGCTTGAGACCTCTAAGAGTGCCCAGTGATAAGCAGATTTGATGAATTTGTCTTAGGACTTTCTTTGCTTCTGGTCTCTCTTATTTGAGTTTCTCACTGCTGAAGTGGGCACCTTCAAAGGATTGCTTGTCCCTTACCAATGAAGTTGTCAGTGGTCTTGGGCACTAAAGCAGAGTCTGTTCACTAAGACATTAGGAATTTAACTATTCCAACATAAAGGAATTGTATTAGCCCAACTTCATAGAAGAATCATCAAGATTGTTTTCAAACCTTTGACTCCTCAAAAGATGATCAGGTAAGGTATGTATATGTTTTTTTTTTTTTGTAAATTAATATTAATTCACCTGTTATGATTGTAATATGGGTTTGTTTTTCTTAACAATTACAATTATTTAGGGAAAACATAACTCCTCGAGTCCTTCATTATTCAGGTGGGTAAGTAGAGAGTTTGCCTTGCAACATAGATGACACCATTTAAAAAGCTGTTATGATGGTAAATGAAGTTCTTCAGTTATATATCTGGTATTGAAGTATAAAGCAAGAGTTGTAGTGTGTTTAATAAAGTATTAGATAAGCATACAAATACTCTTCTCTCTCCTTTTCTTTCCCTATTAATTATTCCTCACCTCTTTCACCTCCAGTGTGTTTCATAGTCCCTGCTTATGGGATCTAGAACCGAGCAGTGTATGAGTTACATTTGTTCAGGGGCCAAATCTGGCAACTTAAAACACATGTATAGCATTGTTTTTATTAGAAAATGTTTTGAATTACCAAGAGTGAACATTAGTCGGATTTTAGGCATACAAATTAGTATTTGTGTTTAGGAATTGCGGCCTATTTGTGCTTTCATTTTGAATAAAGAACAGTCCAAAAAGATGTGCTGAATACCAGTGTTATTACCGTCAAGGTAGAATTTTTAAGTTGATAGTAGTGGGAAATTGATTTTTTTATATATATTTGTTAATCAATTATTTTACAATGTTACACGGATAACTTCCTTTTCTTTTTTTTTTTTTTTTTTTTTTGAGATGGAGTCTTGCTCTGTTGCCCATGCTGGAGTGCAGTGGTGTGGTCTCCACTTACCATAACATCTGCCTCCTGGGTTCAAGCCATTCTCCAGCCTCAGCCTCCTGAGTACCTGCGATTACATGTGTGCACCACCATGCCCGGTTAATTTTTTGAATTTTTAGTAGAGACGGGGTTTCACTGTGTTAGCCAGGCTGGTCTTGAACTCCTAACCTCGTGACCTGCCTGCCTTGGCCTCGCAAAGTGCTGGGATTACAGGGGATTACAGGTGTGAACCACTGCTCCCAGCCACACAGATAACTTTTTTTATGCTATTACTTATATTCAGAGAGTTATTTCATTTTGACTTCTTTGTAAAGGATAGGCGACTAAATCCACATTTTATTCTTTAGATACAGCAGAATCCAGATCTGGTAGAAGAACAGATGTAAATCCGTTTTTGGCTCCTCGCTCAGCAGCTGTGCCTCTTATTAACCCAGCTGGACATGGACCTGGTGGACCCGGGCATCTTCTTCTGAAACCCATCTCAGATGTCTTGCCCACATTTACACCTTTGCCAGTGTTACCTGACAACAGCGCTGGGGTTGTGCTGAAAGACCTTTTAAAGCAATAGATAATTCTCAAGCCAGAGACAATCTAGCACTTTAAAGGAACCATGAACACTATACGTATGTACTTTATCACAAAGTGGCCTTTGGGAAAAAGTCATGTATTTGTTTGCAGTTGTGCTTTCTCTGAATTTAATAAAAATATTCCTAATGCTTTTAGAAACTACAGGTGTCAGGAGCAAATGTTTGCTATGTAATCTGCTTTATTCCTTCTGATTTGACTTTATTTAAGCTAGGAACATTTGATTTGTCTTTTATCTTAATTTACAAAAATATAGACAGACAAACATGCTAGTAGCTAGAGATTATGGTTTATCAAGAGAGTGTTTTTTGTTTGTTCATTTGCTTGTTTTAATGAAGAATAAAAAAATACTAGCAGTGGCTTCTCTGCTTAGTGCAGAAAGTTGATCTGAAGCATATATTGATCATCTTTAGAGGACTTTGTGGAGACAGGCCAACAAGATTGTCCCTGGAAGGGCATAGGTGCCCTGACATGAAGTATGTGTTTGGTCCTGTGCAATGTCATCATGTGTGTAGATGCTTTTTTTGTTTGTTTAAAATAGAGATGGGGTCTCACTATGCTGCCAGGCTGGTCTTGAACTCCTGTGCTCAAGTGATCCTCCCACCTCAGCCTCCCAAAGTGCTGGGATTACAGGCATGAGCCACTCCACCTGGCCCTCTGTGTAGATTCATGTGACTACCACCAGTCAGGATACAGCACCTCCATCACAAGCATCCCCCGTGTCACCCTCTCATAATCAGAGCCACCTCTCTCCCTGGCCCTCTCCCTAATCCCTGACAACCACTAACTGTTCTCCATCTCAGCAACTTTGTTATTTCAAAAATGTTCTATAAATGGAATCAATATGTAACCTCTTGAGACTGACTTTTTTTCACTCAGCCTAAAAGATCCATCCAGGTTTTTGAATGTGTCACTAGTTTGTTCCGTTTTATTGTTGAGTATATAGTGCAGATATATCACTTAGTTTTAACAGCTAAGATATCTATTTAAAGATATCATCTTAAATGTTTCTTTACACAAATTCGTACAACTTTCATGTAAGCATTAAACTATACAGCTGCATCTACGTAAGTATAATTAGCAATATCACTGAACATGCGTGCCACTTCCTGCCTCTCTCTGTGGTGTTGACATATGAGGCACAGCAGTCCGAGAGTCAGCTGTTCCCATCACGGGTTCACAGAGGCAGTGAAATCCCTTTAATAACACCAGTACCTAGATGTTCAAAACTTAAGAGAGTATTTCTTTTAATTTTTTTATAAACCCATCATAAAAAAAAATCCCAACTTGAAACTTAACTATATCTGGATGTTCATATTTTTATTAGTTGTTGAAGTTGTACATTTAAAAAGACATTTCTTGCCAATTTTATAAATTTCTATATGCTTTTAAAATATAAACATTTGTATAACAAGGAAAGATAAAACAAATTCAAATATGTAAATAGGCCTGGCTGAGGCTAGAACTAAACTGGGTTGTTTGCAAGTTTTGCTGTGATTAACTGTATTTCTAATGTATTTGGAAGACTGGAAGTCTTAATTATATGTTGATAGGTGAAACTTGTTTTTCTGAAAAATGAAGTAACTGAGAATGCTGCTTCAGAATGTCTCCCATCTCCTTAGATAACTGGTTTATATTGCCATTCTTTATTTAGTGTACTTTAAAGGCAGTTGTCATACAGGTTCAGTATTAGAACTGTCCAACTGCATCCTCTTGGTTTTGCCCATTATTATTTCTCTATGAGTTACTCCTTGGTTTTCATATGCTCCTGACAAAGACACTTTCACTGACTATCCTACAGTATGTGCTGCCTGCCATTGAAGTTTCAGTTCAGTGTGGAGCAAATGAAATAACTAGTTTCTAAGTTTAAAAAAGACACATGGTACTTTATTTTTAAGAAATAGAATATGTAAAAAGTTTTCTCTTTTAATTTGAAAAAGAGATGCATGGTTGGTATTTAAGTAGTATGTCATCATATTTGAAATGCCTTTTCTGACATTATTGAGTATTTCCTCCTCTGACCAAAACAGCCTGTTCCCCTCTCATCCCATAGTTTAATATAAGTTTAAAAGCTGTTGGGGGTGGATTGCATAGCTAAACATCCCAGAGCATGATATTAAATGGCTGCTATTTAAATAAGTATGTGACCTTGTCCTAAAGCTATAGTACCAGCCGGGCACGGTGGCTCATGCCTGTAATCCCAGAAGTTTAGGAGGCCGAGGCGGGTGGATCACCTGAGGTCAGGAGTTTGAGACCAGCCTGGCCAACATGGTGAAACCCCATCTCTACTAAAATACAAAAATTAGCCAGGCATGGGTGGCAATCACCTTTAATCCCAGCTACTCGGGAGGCTGAGGCAGGAGAATTTCTTAACCCCAGGAGGCGGAGGTTGCAGTGAGCCAAGATTGCACCACTACGCTCCAGCCTGAGCAACACAGTGAGACCCCATTTAAAAAAAAAAAAAAAAAAAAAGCTATAGTACCTAATGCTTTCATTGTGTCATTGAAACTATAGCTGACTGGTATGCATACTAAGTGTTCGTTGATCTAAACCAGGTATAAGTCATTGACTTTCTCAGATTAGTTGTGTCGGAGATGAACCACCTGCTCACCAAATCGTCTTAGTAACCAGACAGTGATGAAGCATATAATTCTAATGTTGGCAATAGGACATTGCTAACCGTGCGTTTAACTGCAATATTTTAACTACAGTAATTTTTCTGTTTATTTCTCTATCCCCTCAGTAGAATTTGTGGTTGAATTCCGCCTTCGCTGCCATAGTTTTTCACCACATTCCAAATGTTTTTCAACCTCTATACTGTAGTAGAAAATTCATCCAACTATTGAATTTAATTTTAGCATAATACTGGATTAAATCGTTTGAATTTTCATTCCTGTCATTCTTGATTTTTAAGAAATGAAACAGAGCTAAATAACAAAAACCTAGGAATAAAGGAATGGCTTCTTTCCCACTATCCAATTAAACGTCCAGTATCCCCCCAAATAAAGCCTTTTGTTTCTTTTAACCTCTTAACAGTTAATTGAACAGAGTACAGAAACTATCAAAATACTTATCCAATCAGTAGGTGGGGGGAAAAACTTTGTCTTCAGGGAGAGGAGAGTGATGGGAACTTTTTAGAAAACACTATTATGCATCAAACTTAAAAGCATTTGAATGTGATTTTTAAAGATAATGAAGTTTTCCACATATCAAAGTATTTAAAACATCTTCCATCAACAAAAACTTATCTTTAAATTTTGTAAATATCTAGTAAGTATAGATGATATTTATTTTATATATTCCTATGGAAAAAATGCTACTTTAATGTTCTGACATTTGTGATTATTTGCCAGTCTTTACTTTTTAACTTATTAAAAAGTTAAATACTTATTAAGGTATCTCTATGTAAAACTGATAAATTGTCTTTTGACTTTTAGGGAAATGTGGGAAATTTCCAACCCAACCTTAATATTAGGTTGTGTTATTTATAGAGCTAAAGTTAATGCATTTTTGAATTTCTCAGGAGCTCTGCAAGGCAAAAAAATACTCCAAATAAAAATGATATATGTAAGTTGGCAATGTCTTCATTCACAATAAAAAAAATTTTTTAGCAAACAGCTGCTGACTTTTTCTTTAGAAGGGGAGAAATGACTTACACATGTTGTTTGTAACAGTAGTTGATGAACTACTGAAGCTAATGTCTTTATTCACCGGATGTCTGCTATTAGGATACTATTTCAGCCTTGGAAATTTTTAAGTATGAACAGTTTAAAAGATACTTGAGATTATGTATGAGAGAAGTATCCTTTTTTTCATACTAATCAAGCAAAACCCCATCTCTACAAAAATACAAAAATTACCAGGCATGGGGGCACGTCCCTGTAATCTTAGCTACTCGGCAGGCTGAGGTAGGAGAATCGTTTGAACCTGGGTGGTAGAGGTTGCAGTGAGCCAAGATTGTGCCGCTGCACTCCAGCCTGGGTGACAAAGTGAGACTGTCTCAAAAAAGAGAAAAAAAGAATCTGAGAGGTTTTAACCGACCTTTTTTTTCTTTTTCCTTCAGAGGGTATTGTACATGATTGGCCTCTGGGGTCCTTTTGCAAGATAATCAGTATGTGTCTCCATTTTTTCTTAGATGTGGAACGTGAGTACTTTTGGCGGTTCATATGATGGCAGAACGGAAAGGGTCATGGCTTTTAAAGTTGACAGCAGGATCGGAGTACTGATTTTGACCCTTTCTGTGTGACCTGTCACAAAATTACCTTGACTACGGGTCTTTTTTTTCTCATCTCTGAAATGAGCCATCGCCTACCTAGTAAACCTCATGGGGATGTTAGGATCAATTGACACATTCATTTATCATGTTTATTAAACGAATAAATGTGCCACTTGTGGAAGTGCTTTCTAAAGTCCAAAATTCTAGACAGATGTTAAAATTTCATCACTGCCAAAGGGTAGATAAGAATGTCAGGGAGTTACTGAAGCCAAGAGTTCCTTCCGAAAGGTAAGGTGAGGTCAATGCATGAAGTGCCAGCTACTGCGAGGGCTGGCGAGAGGAGTTTTAAGAAGATTGTGCTGGACTTGGGGAGCAAAAGTGGTTGTTGGCTTTGACCAGAGCTGTGTTGGTGAGGGGTGGGGAGCAAGTGGAGACTGTTGTAGGCAACTCTGCTGAGAAACCAGATCGCAGAGGGGGAAGAGGGAGTGGGAGACTTGTTTGAAGCTGACAGCCTTGAGCTTATGGTAAATGTGTATGGAAAGGACAGGATTAGATGGAGAGGCTGAAGAGAGGGTAGAGAGTAGAGTTCCTGAGAAAGGGAAATGAGATCGGAGCACAGTTTTGGAGGGATTCGCCTTAGGTAGGAAGGACCCCTTTCTTGGGGCTGGTACTGTGGACGAGAGGGGAGACGTAGATGGCAGGTGAATTTGGGTGGGGGAAGTTGTGGGAATTTTTCTCTGCAGTTGGAGGGGGGCTTATCTGGTAAAAACAAGGGGAAGTAGGGCTTGGGGCATGAGAAATTCACAAGTGGGAGAGACAGACACATGTCCAGATTCCTGAAGAAGTACGAGAAATGCTCAGGGGGCTCATGCCAGGCGCTAGGGGCCCTGAGTTGGGCCTTGCAGAGCAATGGGAGGAGGGGGAGTGGTTGTTCACCATTATCTTAAAAGAAATAACATTTGAGCACTTAGGAAGGAAGCAAGCTGGGAAATTAAATGTCAGATAAAAGTCTAATGGTTCTTGCCCTAACCAGTTCTACTGGAATACAAAATGTCACTAACCAGAACCTTGTTTTCCTGTCCTTAGGACTTATGTCATGTGAATAATTATATAGCAGAGGGTTTTATAGCATGTTATTGTCATAATTTAGTACCTCTAATAAATTAATAGTCCACTATAATTACAACAATATTTGTCTTAAAGAAAAATTTTTAAATGTCACTGAGAGAAAAATGTAAAAATGTTTAAAACATGGATCACTTAAGGCAAATATTTGAACCTTTAGTTGGTTTTTGTCTTAGGTCTTAAAATGGAATCTTCCTGTATGTCAGTCTTTTAGCCTTTCTGAGGTTAAGTGAGTAATAATTTGCACTATACTGGTATTTTAACTGATAATTTTCAGCTGTGACTATTTTAACAAGAGTAATCCTTTCAGCTCTAACATTCTTTGACTTCATTGAGTTGTTTTTGACCTTACAAATTAAATCTCAGCGATTTGAAAATATTTGACCGTGAATATGAGAGTTCGGTAAAGTTGTGTTCTAAGTCCATAGATACTATGGACTCTTAAAAATGTAAGATACAT